TGTTTGTCGTCCTTTATTAGAACACATCCTCATCTCTTAATTCATCGTCATCTGTTTCTCAAATTTTATGGTTTGTTGCAGATATGACCCACCGTCGCCAACGTACTCATCTTTCCATTTTTCTAAACCAATAAGCTTCAGATCCAACCCGTCGGAGTCCTCATCTCCGTATTCACAAATGTTTGTTTATATGCTTTTGTCCTAAACCGTTTATTCACATTTCTCTCTTATTATTGAAGATCTCAGCCGCACCTCTGTCACATGTAAGAATTTTTGTCTATCCCTTGATCTAGATCTGTTTAGAGTGTAATCATAAAATGAATACTATGGTTTGTTATACAGACTTCTATAGTAGGCTGGACTGTAGACTGGTAGAGAAATCTGCATGTTAAAGCTATGTCTATCATTTAATTGTTTGGAATTTGCATATAATATATTTTTTTAAGAGATTGTTATATGGTAACCAGGGATGGGGCAATATAACTACACGCAACCATCAAGCAGCTCCAGAACAAGTGTGAGTTCATCTGCTCGACGTCGAGCTGGTGGAAGTTTTAGATTTTCCATATGTTGTTATTGTGGTCTGGTGCCAATCATCTAAACATCTACTACATACTAAAATCCGGATAAGGGATTCTTTGAATATTGTAACCATGAGGTATTGAGTTTTGTGGTGATGTTTATTTGCTATTGGAGTTTGGATATTCAATATGCATTTATGTTGGCAAATATGTTTGTCTAGGATGGTGGATACAATATATTCAAGTGGTGGGATGAGGCTATAATGGAAGAATTTGAAGCGGTAAGGATGGTTGTGGAATAGCAAGCTGATTTAGTTCGTTACCTCAAATAGGTAATCGTCAGTAGGATTGTGTTGATAACCACATATGTAGATGATTGGGCATAACATTCAAAAAAGTAGACATAACTAGCTGAACTAAATGAGATGTTTTGCGAAAAGTGTTCTGGAAGCGTCGAGGTGGAGAATGTAACGGTGGCATACTGCCATATCTAACCCTCATATGTGTGATCATCTACTTTTGTGTTTGGTCAGTGAAATCTTAGTTTATTGTTAAGTTAAACAATACTAATTTAAAGACATATAATCGATTACCTTTTAATTCTGTATTTGTTAAAAGGGTTTAATTATAGAGAAATTAGCATGTATATTAGTCTCTCCACCTATAATTGATTATCTAACACCATGTAAAACATAATGTAGTAACTAGCATTTAGGTTAGACTAAATTCTGATTTTTTCCTTATATAATTAATACAGATTTTTACAATTTAAAAAATAAAAATAAAAATTTTTCTTTTATCCAAAATTTTCCTTTACAAACTTCTCATGACATAGCTAATTATATTGTCTGTTAAAAAGAGGTAGTTACGTGTTACATAGTTAACTATATTTACACAGTAGTCATGACATAGTTAACTATACTGTCTATTAACAATAGATAGTTAGCTATACGTATTACATAGTTAACTATATTTACACAATACTCATGACATAGCTGACTATACTATCCATTTACAAGAGTTAGTTAGCTATATGTGTTACATATCTAATTATATATATACAATATTCATGACATAGCTAACTATACTGTCTACGAACACAATAACCACATTTGAACAACTCGTCCTGCTTAGATTTGAAATACCGAACAACTGTCTCCAAAACAACCATTCTCCCAACATCACAACAACCATAGTCCCTTTTGCCATTTGAAACAAATAGTTAACTACGGTATTAGAATTATAGCTAACTACAACAATATAAATGAAAATCGAATATATTCAACTATACGTATTTATCCTTCCTTTTCAAGATCCACCGTCAACCCTGATTTCCATATTCTTCACCACTAATTTTTATGGATCTTTATTACCAGCAATAATTACTAAATTTAATAGGGGCATATTTGTCCAAGTATTTTTTCTCTATGTTACTCACCTAAATTCTTTTATGGATATGTTAGTTTCTTAATTCTTTGCTCAAAACATAATATTGAGCTAATTAACCCTTAATTATATGTATTGCTCGTATTCAAATGGATGTAAAAAATTATTTTGGTAGTGATAATAAAAAAATATATTGTGTATTTTTTTTTAAATAGATTGCATAGAAAATCTGCAAATAAAGTATGCATATAAAATCTTCATACTGTGGACTTCAATTGTAGTTTGAAATTCAAATCAAACCAAACCGAATTGTGTGAATTCGAATCAAAATATAACCAACAAAAATGTATAAAAATTAAATTATTTAACCAGAAAAACCAATAAAACCATGGTAATTAACCGTGTTTGAACCAATTAATTTAATCTGAAGATAAATCAAAATTGAACCAATTAATTTAACCGACCCATAAACCAACTTGAACCAATTTATTTAACCAATTCAGGAAACTTACGCTACATATAAATCCTAGAAATTGTGGTTTGGTATAAAAAGAACCCAGCTGATTCTACGCATCTCCTTCTCACCGCAGCCGAGAGCAACCTAGTCGTCCATTGTAATTGTCACTGTCAGAGTACTCGTTGGTCGTCGTCGTTATGGTTGCAAGAAGAAAGGTAATCTCTCTTCGTCCCTAGTAGAAACTAAAGGTAATCTCTCTTCCTCCCATGATAGAAACTATCTTCCTCTCTTTGATGCAAAAATATCTCTTACTCTCTTTTCCTCTCTTTGATGCGAAAATCTCTCTTACTCTCTCTCACTCGCTAATTTTCTCTTTGATACGAATATCTCTGTCTCTCTTACTCTATATCCTCATTGATTCAAAAATCTAATTGTATATCTCTCACTCTTTCTTCCAAATCTATTTGTTGATGTCGTCGCTTGCTTCCCTTAGATTTCAACTTCATCGAATTTCATCGATCTGTATTTTTCGAAAACCTTCTGAGTTTGACTG